TAACATGTCGGGAATCCTTTCATGGTTGAATTTGCTCTCTTACAAAACATGTCACCACCTGTCTTGCATTTGATTATTTGAGGGCCTATCAGAGAAGGTGATTCTGTGGAGATCACTGGATTTATGGAGTTCTCCTTCCGTTAGGTATTTCCACATTAACTTGGTGATTTCTCCCAGTAAGCCTGGAAACCATAGAGTTGCAACCCTGGAATGTGTTGACATTCAGAATGCTGGAATGTCAGTCATGTCAAAAAAATAAATTGCTGATGGGGAAGGCAAGATTAAGCCTCAGTGTCATGTAAAGGCCTTGCTTGTCTCACTATTGCACAGTGGTTCTTGTTGATATGAAGACTTTGCTTAATTTTTAGCTTCTAGAAATAGTTCATGGAAAGGGGACTTATCGTATATAATAGAATCAGTGTTCTGTTGAAAACTGGCCGATTCTCCCATTTTTGGCCATGGAGGGAGCCGTCAAATGTTCCTGGCTCTGTTCTCTGGGGTGATATTTCTGTGGAACAGAGTCAGAGGCTTTTCCATCAGGGATTCCAAGACCAAGGCTGGCAGGAATAAAGTATAGGGACTTGTTTGTGAAACCCTGGGTCCCTAGTAGCCACAGAATTTCCACAGAACTTTTGGGAGTTACCTATCAATTTTGTTCTTGGGAATTCCATGGGCCGTAAGGCAAAACCCAAATCTTGGTGTCTTAGACATAGAATACCAGATCCATTAAGTTTCTAATAATTAACAACACATTAAATCCGTGTGTGTGTGTGTGTGTGTGTGTGTGTGTGTAAAGTTAGAGGTAGGAAGTCTATGCATTAGGATATATTTAAGCAGGGTGTCTTGTTTACTTTTTCCTTGCTGCTGAGACAAAATACCTGATGCCCAGAATTAAGGAAGAAAAGGTTTATTTAGCTCACAGTTGGTGGAGGTTTCAGCCCATATTTGCCTAGCTCCAAGGCAAGATGGCACGGCACAGGGCAACATTTTAAGGTGGCAGAAGACAGCAAAAGCAACAAGAGCAAAAGGCGGAGGAAGAATCTCTCTTCCTACCTTAGATTGTAAGCAGGCTACCTTCTCTAGGGCAGGTATGTGTAGCAACATCTCCCTGTCCTCCTCTTGCACAGAACTAAGATGTTTACAAAGTGAGGACTCCAGTCCCCTGCTGAGTCACTTAGTTAACCTTCTAAACTTCTCAAGTTGACACAATGTATCCATCATAACATAAATGATCTCCAAGGAGTCTTTTTGCCATTCTCAGCTGTGAATCAGAAGATCATAAATCTCAAGTTTCTTTAAGTCTCTTAAAAGTTTGCTCTGGGAGGAGACCTAAGATGGTGGAATAGAAGCAGACTTTGTCTGACTCTGTGAATGAGAGAAACCAGAGCAATAAGAGAGAAATTGTATCCTGTAGAGAAAAATGAGGAAGATCTCAGAATCAACAACATAGTGACTAGAAACTTGAACAGCATGGAGAATCAGAAAGAAAACACAAGGAAGCGTATGGAGCAGCTTTAATCATCAGTCTTGGCTCTTTGGCTGGAGCAGGGCATCCAAAGCCACAAGCATAAGGTAAGAGTGGGAGGAAAATCAGTCCCTGCTATTAACAGCTAACTGGCAGTCCTACCTGCAGGAGAAATCCACAGTCTACACAAGCCTTTAATCCAGTCTGGGGATCTGGTTGAGTGACTATCTCCACACCAACCTAACATTAGAGAAAAGATCCTCTACACCACTTCATCACCATTGCTGGGTAAAATCCAGAACTTGGGCCCTCACAGGTCTTCTGTGTAGCCAGCTGTTTGCATTTTTGCTCAAACTACCCAATTTGGGCCATCTTGTTTCCAAATAATGAAATTTTCTGATCCAGTTGAATACTTCTGTGGTTTTGTCATCATGTAGATATCGCCCAAGATGACAGTCGTGTGCTAGGTGATAAGGGGAAGTGAGAGACAGAGAGAGATTCTTTCTACCCAATTCATGTCGATTATTCATCTGCTTTCTTGAAGGGTTTTTGAGCCTAGATTTGTGTGCAAGTTGCAATTTAATGTGTTTGACAGGGCTTTCAACTCTGGGAGGAGTCAGCTTTTTTTGATTTAGAGCTGATTGTGGGTTTTATACCCTCCTCTCTCTTCATCTGCCAGCAATTGATGATTCTCGGGGTTAAAGGGCTCAGGAGGGTCAGATGAGGAAGAGGGGTAGAGAGAGAGCGCAAAGGGCGGGAGACCACATATCTCCCTGGCGGTCTCACTCCCATGATCCACTCCTTTTGACCGTCATCTCTCCCTACTTCCTCTCTGGATCATCTCTTAGTAACGAGGCTGGATTATGGTCTCATCAATGGGGTGATGCAGTGATGAAAATCAGAGCTCATGATCCAATCATTTCTAAACATCCGCCAACAACTGCACCTTCAACACAGGTTTTAGGGGGTAAATTGGATCCACCATAACACACCCATTCTCTATATCAGAAGAATGGAACACTGACAGCAAGTATTTTGAGTTTCATGCTAGTACAATGACACTGTTTTGGGAAAACTCTTCGCTTGTATCTTGATGCTCAGGGGCAGAGCTTCTGTAGTGTGTATAGCTAGGCCAGTGAGATAGTGAGGTTTCTGCTTATGTGTATCTTTGACTTTAAAAGGATATTCTTGTCAACATGATGCTATAATCCTTTTGAATTTTTGCTAATCTAGGGAGCATATTGTGGGTTTAAATGTGCTGCCTGATTGCTAATAAATATTGGTTTGGTAGTGTGGATATTCTCCCCCATGGTAAGTCTGGTTTTATATTCTAATCTCTTTCATGTTCAGCTTAATGATGCCCATGGAAAATTTTATTAGCATGGGTCAGGTGTTTATTTTTGAATCAGTTAGTGTGGTAGGTCATTTTATTAAATGCTTGTTTTCATCTGGAGGACAAGGAGAATGAACTGTTTATAAAGTCAAGGTGGGGTAGAGGGGTTCATTAGACATCAAACAATATACTCAATGAAAAAGATGGACTTTGGCTCTCTTTGACCATGTGAAATGCAAATAAGTGCACTTTCATTCCCTGTGAAATGTGCAAGTTTATTTCTGGGTGCAAAGAATTGAGTAGTTCTTCCTCCTGAGTTCATTGCTTTTCACCACCATTGGTTCCTGATCGTTTGCATTTTGTCAGTGGCTATGAAATTGTGGCAGAGTTCTAGGGTTGACTTCAGAAAGTGAGCAATTTCTCCCTACTTGCTCTTCCAGGAGATTAAGTGTTTCTGTTTTAATATTTAGCTCTTTGATCCATTTTGACTGTAGTTTAATGCATAGTGATAGCCATGGGTCTAATTTGTAGTCTTTGGCCTGTGGAAAGCCACTTTTTCCAGCACCATTTATTAAAGAGGCTGTCTGATAATCTCAATACCTAATTTGAAGACAGCAATATGCAATATAACAACCATTGTTGAATTCTTAGGATCTTGTTTAGTAAAACTCTGTATCATTTCTAATGTTTTGTTTTATTATTTTTTATTCTCTTTAATTGTTTGATCAATCTTGCATCCTTACATCTGGTAATCTGAGCAACTTTGCTGAAGACAACAATATGTAATATAACAACCATTGTTAATGTGCTACCATCTTGTTTTGAAACTTGTATCATTTTTATTGTTTTTGTGTTGCTCTGTTTTTGTCTTTGTTGTTGTTATTTTGTTATTGTTTTTTTCTCTTTAAAATAAAAAAAAGAAAGTGATGGAAGGAAAAAGAAAGTGAACACCTGATTTGTGCTAGAAGATTTCTTATTCTTATTTTAAGTTTTACAATGTCTTCTTGAACTAGGAATTGTCGTACTTATGTTAGTCCTGAGAAATGAAGCCATTTACCCACAGTCTCACAGTGAATTGGTGGTAGAAATCAAGATTTAGATTCAAGTCCGACTCTGCCTTTCCACTGCTGCACACCTGGAGTACTCCGAATCATGCCAAAAGTGTTTCCTTAATTGCAAACATGGGAATTTCATATGTAACGTTGTCTTCCCCATTTACTTTGAGTTGCTGTAAAACTCAAATGAGACCAAGCATGCAGCATAAAAATCCTTTCAAAAGCAATTACTGACAGCTCCTCTGATCTAGACTTTGGACTTCGAATAAAGGAGGCAAAGACTTTGTTTTCAAGAGTTTTGCAGTCTGAAGCAGGAGCTCCAGTTGCTTTTCTTTCTTATCAAATCTTGAGAGGAGGTGAACTGTGGTTCAGCTGCCTCTCTGCATCTGTCCCTGCTCATTAATGTCACTGTCCCTCCGAGCAGGATGCTTGGTGAGTGACAAATGTGTGCGAGGAGGCAGTAGGGCAAAGAGAAGCAATGCACTGTATCCTCTAGAAATGGCAAAAGGCCTTGGAGAAGACTTCCCCACAGTAAAATATCTATAACGTGAGAGCAGAAACTGCAAAGCCATGTGTTGCCTAGTGGAAAGGCATCTGAACATTGTTATTCCTGCCTGAGTGAGAAGAAAGCTACTGTAGGGGGAAGAATCTCTGATGGTGAAGAGGAGCTGTATTTTTAACGCATCTTCCTTCAGCTAGTGAGAAACCAATTTTGTTTTATACAACATTCCTTGATAATGGAAGTGATCAGTCACTCACATATTAAAATGAAAACAAAAAGGAAGTGCATTTAGCATGATCACAGGGATCCCCAGATATGATCTGTGTTACAGAGGACACAGTAATGTTGATTGGAGTGAAGACAAGAGGGAAAGCTGTCACGATGTGGGGTAGGATGAAATAAACTCAAGATCTCAAGTGCTGTCAAGTGCCCAGGAATAAACTGGAAGTGGGAGGATGATCAGAAGAAAGTACCATGCAACTGCTGGGTACCAATTTCACTACATGTTTCTTTGCTCATTTGGCTGGTGATACTTTTCTGCCTTTTCTCTGTTCACTCATACAATACACATGGTGCTGATGCCTATTAGGGATGTATTGATATGAGAACAAAGTTGCTTGAGATAAGATGTCTTATCCCTCAGGTCTACACACTCTGGGACACCTGGAATCTGCCAGTGACCTTCCTGAAGGCGGCTTTCACGTCCTTGTTTCTCAGGCTGTAGATGAGAGGGTTCAGCATGGGGACGACCACGGTATAGAAGACAGACACAACCTTGTCTTCCTCCAGGGATTTGCCTGAGCTGCTCCGTATGTACATGAAAGTGAGGGTCCCAAAGAAAAGGGCCACAGCGCTGAGGTGGGAGGCACACGTGGAGAAAGTCTTGGCCCTGCCTCCTGGAGACTTCACCTTCAAGATGGCCTTGATGATGAGCAGGTAGGAGATCAGGATGACCAAGGCATTGGCCAGAATCACAAAGTTGCCAAAGACAACAATGATGATCTCAGCATTTGCTGTGTCACTGCAGGCAAGCTTCAGCAGGGGTGGGAGGTCACAGAAAAAGAAGTTGATGTGATTATCCTCACAGAAGGAGAGGGAGAAGGTGCATGTGGTGCGCAGGATGGACCCTGACACCCCACAGACGTAGGCGCCCACCACCAAACTCCAGCAGATTCTGGGCTTCATGGCCACAGTATAGAGCAGCGGGT